TCAGCGTTAACATCGTCAACAGTACAGCTACGACTAATTATTATTGTTGCTTTGTAGCAACCCTATTGCCTGTATTATTAAAAGTAGTAGTAATAACAATATCTATGATGTTATTACTAGTTTTTTCGCTGTTTTTGTGACCCTGACAACAGGGCAAGTATTAAAAATGGCAGCAATAACTGTTGCTGTAACAGTAATACTACTACTAAAGTAGTAGTAGTAGTTATTACTTGTATAATTCCAGCATTAGCTGTATTATTGAGAATAGTAGTGACAGTGATAATAGTATTAATACTTATATTTGTAGTATTATTTGTAGAAGTTATAATATGTATAACTTGTATTGCTACTAATTATTATTATTAGCAGCAGCAGCAATTAAAGTTCGATTATCTGCAGCAATGGTGGTGTCCATTTGTTCTGTAAACTCCTCGTAAGATTGAATGAATAAGTCATGAATAATGTCTGCCTGTTTGACCGGTCGGTGAAGTGAGCTGAGCCGAACACGAAGCGTTTTGACGAGGAAAAATGGGATCTGGCATAATCAAATGTTGATCCGTAGGCTTAATTCAACGATCCAAATGAGCTGATTGCAAAAAAAGATGTCCACGCAAAAAGCCGGTCCAGTCGGTTTGTGAATGTACGGATCAGCCTACAGACGCCGCTCACTCAGCCGGTCAGAGTGAAGAGAAAGCGGTATATTGTGCGGCGACCCTTTGGTAGCGAGTTGGCAGGTATCCCGCGGCTAAACGAGAAAAGGTGCCATACAAGCAAGCATCAGACAAGTGGCCTCTGGCGGCCGAGGACGCCTGCAGCACTGAGCGAGTGAGCAAAGAAAGAGTCTACAAAAGCATCCGTCGCATACATACACAGCCGCACACAGCTGGCAAATTAGACAAAGTACGACTGTCGGACGTCGGACAGACCAGTTCACAAAAGTTGCCGCGCCTTCCGCCCTTTTTATGGGTCGCGTTTGGGGCGAAAAATCCCACCAGAATTGCATCGGAGCTGGCCAATGCACGGCACCGAGACACTCTGGCATGAGCACATCCTTCCACCCTTACCAACTACCCAAACTCCATTTTTGCCAACCTCCATCTTCAGACGGTCGGGCTGACATTGCCACTTGTTCTGGCGTCAGACGAGATAGTCTGGACGAGAAATCCAACTGACTTTAGCCGTTTTACCTGACCAGTCAAAGCCACGGCTGAAACAGAACTGCTGGGGCATAAACGTCAGTTTCATTATGCCCTACACAATCTTGTCTGTGCGTACATCCCAATGTGTCTGTGTGTGTGTGTTTATATATCACATGGCTGGCTGACATAGCCCTGGAAACAGGCGGGGGGATAGATTCTGCAAATACGTTTGCCCGAAGAAGGTTGCCTCCGGGCTTCTAGATTGCTTTCTTTCTTTTTCTCTTCCTCCCTCTTTCTGGAGAGTAGACAAGAGGGAAGGGAGTACAGCGAGATCTGCCCAAATGGTATGGCCAACACAGTCCGCTACATAGCAATATAACTAGGTGAATTACTCTATCGTAGAATATTCTACTTATATCGTTCATCAGTAGTTAATAACGCAACGACTAGTTATTGTGCGCCTGGAAGGCGAGTGAGTTGACTCATCTTGCATTGGTCCTCCAGGCGGGCAATGATATTTTATTCAAAATGATACTATTCCCTACAACTTGACTAAACATGTTACTGTTTACTTGTACAACAGATCAGAAGCAGCCAACATGTTTTAATTGTTTTGTATTTTTTCACCCTTTAGAAAACAGCCTCAAGGGATTCTGTCAGAGAAGTCAGATCGTATCGCGGCTTCTTTCCTCGTTTCAAAAGAAGGCATTCATCTCTTCGCGACTTCTGGTTGGAACATGAAGCTGAGGATGGCTTTAGAGTCCTGGTGAGTCGGAAACGTGTCATACAATGAAAGGAAAAACAAAATTTGAGAAGGTGTTTAAATGAAAATAAAAAGATATAATCAAAGCTAAGATTATCCCATTGTAATTGTATGGCATGGTAGTTGTTGCTGTACAGAACTCTGTATTACCATATCGTAACGCATGAATGCATCCAAAAGACTCATTACGTGATTAATATTTATTCGAAGAAAACTTGTCTAGGAAAGAAATGACATGTAAAAATTAAAGACAAAATGTGGGTGCAAGACAATATAGAGATGATTATTTGATTAAGTATTTTCGTATTTATCAATAGAACTGTTTTATTTAATGAAAATTAAAATGTACAGACATCGAGTGTTTAAACTCTTGCTTGCGTCCTCTTTATTGCAAACAATACAGTAACTAGGTGGGTAGGAAGAGACAGACGTGCATGCGTGAGATTGAGACCAAAAGAGCACTAAGGAAAAAGACTGTAATTAATGAAAAGTTGATTATTTAAATTATGAAAAGTTTTTATCAGCCACATATGTTACAACTTGATTT